GGAGCAGGACCGCCAACCCCGTAGGTCAACCGGACCGTGTCAGTGAGCTGAGCAAAGCACTGACCAGGGGGGTGAAAGCGGCCACAAGGGTGGCCCCGACGAGGACCTGTCTGAACCTGGTAGGGGCAGGGAGGGTAAGCCGCACCGCGCTGGGGCTGACGCAGCCCCGACCCCGGAGCCAGCTGCTGACGCTGCTGCTGCTGAGGCTGCTGGGAGGAAAGGGGCTGCTGCTGCTGCTGCTGAAGGTGCTGCTGACGCTGAGCCTGGTACCACGCCGCTGCTCCACCTAGCGGGGCCGGCAGTACAGGAGGCGACTGACGAGCTCGGGGGTCGCCGCCACCAGCAGGTGCAGTGGAGTCACCAGCCGCTGCACGAGGGGTCTCTCCAGACGCTGCACTCCCACCACCCCCTGTCGCAACAGCACCCCCACTACCTCCGCTACCTCCGCCTCCACCTTCACCAGAACCACCTTTCTTGCCCCCCCTGCCGCGGGACCGCGACGCAGTCGTAACAGCAGCCGCAGTCGCGTCAGTAGCGGCAGTGGCAAGAGAGGCAGTGAAGGTAGGTAACTGCGGGACTGTGCACCCGTGGAAGAGTGGGGGGGACACAGTACCAGAGGCGGCAGCTACCGAACGAAGGTTGCTCTCGACGTCCTTGAGTGCAGACTCAAGGACCTCGATAGTCAGCTCACTAGGGTGCTTCAGCAGAAGCGCGTCACGAACGGAGGCAAGGCGGTCAGGGAGGCTAGTGGCGATGAAATAGACAGTGATCGCCATGGGGGGAGGAAGCAGTGCAAGCTGTGCCTCAGTGCAAGCAGCGCGGTAACTAGCGTCGAGCGAGCGGAGGTGAGCGATCAAGTCAGCAGAGCGCAAAAAACGAGGCAAGATCAGGAAACAGGAACGGGAGGAAAAGACGGCCAAGAGAGACAGTAGCGGGAGTAGAGTAGCGGGCCTTAATCGCAGTGAGGTACGCAGCAGCGGTGCGAACCTGAGTAAAGTGGACCTCCTCAGACTCAGGGAGGAGGCTGCTGAGTGCGATGCAGGCCGCAGCGTCACGCGACGTCCAAGCCGTTCGGTCAGCGCGCTGACGGGCAAAGCGAGCCGTAGCAGCGTCGTCAGGAGCAGGGCCTAAAGCTGTAGGCTCGGGGGGCTCGGGGAGGTCACCAGTAGCGTGTGACCAGAGGGTCTCGCCCCCCTGGACCGGACTCTCTAACAGACGGCGAGCGCGAAGAAGCCAGACGGAAAAGTCAAGTGGTCTACCGTCAGCGTCGAAACGAAGAACTCGCGGAGTCGCCATAGTGAGAACTAAAGCGAACGAACAGGCGAGTAAGAACCGGGGGGGAAGAGGACTCAGTTGCAGCGGAAGAGCGGGCTAGGGCGACGGGCTAGGACGTATGGAGGGCAACGGGCCAGAGCCTAGGGTAGGGCGACGGGCCAGGGCCTAGGGTAGGGCGACTGGCCAGGGCTTAGGGTAGGGCGACGGGCCAGGGCTTAGGGAGGGCGACGGGCCAGGGCCTAGGGTAGGGCGACGGGCCAGGGCCTAGGGTAGGGCGACGGGCCAGGGCGTAGGGCAGGGCGACGCGACGGGGGAAAGGGCGGGAGCGACGCGACGGGGCAGGGCGACGCGACGGCACAGGGCGACGCGACGGGGCAGGGCGGCGCGACGGGGCAGAGCGACGGGACGGGGCAGGGCGACGCGACGGGGTAGGGTGACGCGACGGGACAGGGCGACGGGACGGGGGGGGAACAGGCGGGCACGACGCGACGGGGGGAACGGGCGCGACGCGACGGGGGGGAAAGGGCGTGACGCGACGGGGGGAAAGGGCGCGACGCGACGGGGGGGAGGGGAAAGGGCGCGAGGCGACGGGGAGAAAGGGCGCTAAGCGACGGGGGAAAGGGCGCTAGGCTCGGTACTAGGCGCGGTAACAACGGAACTGGTACGAACGAGAGGTAGGATCAGGCTCGGGAGGTACGAACGGAGAACGGAGGAACGGGATCCCACAGGATCCTAACCTAGCTGATACCATGTCATAATGAGGAATGAATGGTTCCATTGATGTTGGTTGGGGTACATATAACAAACCCTAACTTCTGTACCCCCTAAGACAAACCTCACTACAGGCTACAACATTTGACACCTATATGGGGTACAACCCAATTAGGGTTAGTACTTGTACCCAACTCTTTCATACTGCATTCATTCTCGTTCATTCTCACATGGTATCAGAGCACATATGCTCCTGGCCTGTGGGCCCTACTACTACTTCCGCTGCTACTCGATCTGTCGCACGCCCCGTTGGCGCGCGGCGATTTTCTCTCTGGCGCGCGCCCCGAGGCGCGCGGCCCCGTTCCTTCTAGGCGCGCCACTTCCCGCTACCCCGTCGCGGCCCCATCTCGTCGCGCCGCCCTAGCGGCCGCGTCGCGCCGCCCTCGCGGCCCCGATCCGCCGCCCTAGCGGCCCCGTCACCTACCCCTGCGGCCCCGGCGCCGCCCATCCCGGCCCCGGCTCCGCCCTTCCTGGCCCCGGCGCCACCTCGGCTGGCCCCGTCGCCTACCCCGGCGACCCCGACGCCGCCCTTCCCGACCCGGCCCCGCCTCTGCTGGCCCCGTCGCCTGCCCCTGCGGCCCCGGCTCTGCCCTTCCTGGCCCCGGCGCCACCTCGGCTGGCCCCATCGCCTATCCCGGCGACCCCGACGCCGCCCTTCCCGACCCGGCCCCGCCTCTCCTGGCCCCGTCGCCTACCCCTGTGGCCCCGGCGCTGCCCTTCCCAGCCCCGTCGCCACCTCTGCTGGCCCCGACGCCGCCCTTACCGGCCCCGGCGCCGCCTCTACTGGCCCCGTCGCCTACCTCTGCGGCCCCGGCACCGCGGACCTAGTGCTCTGAAACCATGTTAGAATCTAGTAGCAGGAATGAATTAACTAGATCAGGGTTTGGTACAAATATGAAACCCTAATGGGGTTGTACCCCATATTGGTTAGCCCACTACAGCCTACACATATATGACATGCATACAATTTGATAGTAAAACATCGCCGCAAGAGCTACTAACAACACGCACTCAGACTCAAATCGGTATATCGATGCGACAAAGGAAATGTGTTCGACACGAGGCTCACCTCAGAATACTGGCGACGCGATTATCTCAGGAGCTGTCAACAACACAGCGGAGTGGTGTGTAGGAACGTGCAATCCCAAAGGGGACATATGGGAAACGCGCTTGTTGAGGAAGCATTGGAGATTTGAGGAAATGAGCGCCGCGCTCGCGTGCCTACTAGCGACACGGCGGTGCGGTTGCAGCTCCGCGCGATCGTCGAACCAATCACGCTCTTAGGCGAGCGCGAAATGGAGCGGCGCGACCGACTTAGGTCGTTCATGGCTAAGCTAGACGCCGAGGGGCGGCTCGACGAGCTTTACGAGGCGATCGAGCGGCAAATGCGGACAAAGCAGGGAAGGCGGCACGGAGGTTCTCGAAACGGAGGATGTGCCTCAAGCGGAGTTGTTTTATACCAAGGGGAGCAAGGAGCTGCTGCTGGCGCTGCAGGAGATTGCGGTGTTTTCGCTGCCCCGGGCAGGGTTAAGGGATTCGGCGTGCGAAGCGGCGGTGAGAGGATCCCGATGAGGACGAGGAGGCGGAGGCGAAGGAGTTGATGGCGCGGTGCAAGGGATGAGCGAGCATGCAGGTCGGTTGAGAGCTGTACCAAGCGGTGCAGGGAATGATAATTCAGGTGAAGGATCCCAATGAGGACGAAGAGCGGAGGCGAAGGAGTTGATTGGCATGGTGCAGGGGATGAGCATGCAGGTGGGTTGAGAGTGGTACTGGGTGGTATCAGAGATAAGCGACGCGCGCCCCATCCCGCCTGTTCCCTCTCCCCCGACGCCTCTCTTGTTGCCACATCAGGGTGGAGCGGCGCCTGCCGCCTCTGCTCGCTGCCAGCTGTGCTCGCTGCCAGCTTCTTACCCTCATACTCGCTGTCCCACCCACCACACACCCCTCTCCCCCCCCCCCCCAAACCCCCCCACACCTCCACAGGTATCAGAGATAGGCGACGAGCGCCCCATCTCCACCTGCGCCCTCTCCCCCGACGCCTCTCTCCTCGCCACCTCCGGGTGGAGCGGCACGTGCCGCCTCTGGTCGCACTCAAACCTCCTCCCCACCCCAACCCACCCCACCCCACCCCACCCCACCCCACCCCCCGCAACACCCACGCCACCCCCCCGCCCACAGGTATCAGAGATAGGCGATGAGCGCCCCATTTCTTCCTGTGCTCTCTCCCCCGACGCATCTCTTGTCGCCACCTCGGGGTGGAGCGGCGCCGCCTCTGGTCGCAGCCAGCTGTGCGGGCGGCGGGCGCACTGCGCGGCCACTCAGAGCGCGCCACATGTGTGGCCTGGCACCCCCACGCGCTCTCCTCTCCCTGCTTCTCATCATTTTTCCCTGCTTCTCATAATTTTTCCCTGCTTCTCATAATTTATCCCTGCTTCTCATAATTTTTCCCTGCTTCTCATAATTTATCCCTGCTTCTCATAATTTATCCCTGCTTCTCATAATTTTTCCCTGCTTCTCCTCCTTTCCCTCCCTGCTTCTCATCATTTCCCTCCCTGCTCTCCCATATGTCCCATATCTCCCCTGTTTGACCTTTTTCTTTTCCCCCTCCCAATCCCTCTTATTGTCTCCCTCTTCCTCGCTATTGCAGTGACTACCGGTACACTGAAAGATTTTCCTGATACTGCAACTCGCCTCAGCCCATCATCCCATGCCATGCTCGTAGAGAAACCAGTTCCCCTCGTGTTTTTTCGAGGCCTTGAGAAAGGTACAACAATCAGAAGTATTAGGAACATGCCTCTATGTACCCTTCTGACACTCTTAGTGTCCATGCATCTTGTAAGAATATGCACTGCAGAACCAAAAGTACATATTGTGCCTTTGAGATGGATATCTCCAACAGTAATGGCTGCTCTATTGTTGCATACAACACACAAGAATCAGGCGGTGCTACGGTGTCAAGCATCGACTAGCTGCGCCTCAGCTTGCTCCTCTGCTGAGTAGGGGAGTGGAGTAGGCAGAAAGAATTGTGTGAAGAAACATGGGGGAGGTGGTGTGAGGTGCAAGGGAACAACGGCAAGGGGATACAAGCAAGTACACATGATGAAAGCATGTATGGGGAGACAGTGATGGGTGCACATGCATGGGAACGAGAGTGCGGAAGGGGGGAGGGCATGAAAATGAAGGGAAGGGTTGAGAAGGGATGGGGAAGGGAAGGGCAGGGCAGGGAGGGAAAGGCAGGGATGGGGAGGGCAGGTGGGAACAGGGCAGAGGGGGGAGGGAATCAGGGAAGGGGATGGGGGGAAGCAGGGAAGGGGATGGGGGGAAGCAGGGAAGGGGATGGGGGGAAGCAGGGCGGAGGGAGGGGGGAAGCAGGGCGGAGGGTGGGGGGAAGCAGGGCGGAGGGAGGGGGGAAGCAGGGCGGAGGGAGGGGGGAAACAGGGCGGAGGGAGGGGGGAAGCAGGTCGGAGGGAGGGGGGAAGCAGGGCGGAGGGAGGGGGGAAGCAGGGCGGAGGGTGGGGGGAAGCAGGGCGGAGGGAGGGGGAAAGCAGGGCGGAGGGAGGGGGGAAGCAGGTCGGAGGGAGGGGGGAAGCAGGGCGGAGGGAGTGGGGAAGCAGGGCGGAGGGAGGGGGGAAGCAGGGCGGAGGGAGGGGGGAAGCAGGGCGGAGGGAGGGGGGAAGCAGGGCGGAGGGAGGGGGAAGCAGGGCGGAGGGATGGAGGAAGCAGGGAGGAGGGAGTGGAAATTGCTGGTGGTGTGTGGGGGGGAAAGGAGGCGGACAAGTGGGGGGAATGCTGGTGGTGTGTGGGGGGAAAGGGAGGCGGACAAGTGGGGGGAATGCTGGTGGTGTGTGGGGGGAAAGGGAGGCGGACAAGTGGGGGGAATGCTGGTGGTGTGTGGGGGGAAAGGGAGGCGGACAAGTGGGGGGAATGCTGGTGGTGTGTGGGGGGAAAGGGAGGCGGACAAGTGGGGGGAATGCTGGTGGTGTGTGGGGGCCTTCGCTACCGACGGGGAGTGGCGACTTGGATAGACATGGGGATAAGGGGAAGTGCGTGTGGATTGGGGAAACAGAGGCGACAACGGGAGGCGAGGGCGTTGAGAAGCAACGCAAGCAACGAGGGAAGAATGAGGGAGATTCGGGTAAGCGTTTCACACGCGGGAAAGAGCGCGAGACGCGGGCAAGCGGTGATGATGCGGGAAAGCACGGGTGACCTCGGGTAAGCGCGGGAAACGCGGGTACGCGCGGGAAACGCGGGAAACGCGGGTACGCGCGGGAAACGCGGGTACGCGCGGGAAATGCGGTTAAGCGCGGGTAAGTGGGGATGACGCAGGTAAGTGCGGGTGACGCGGGAAAGCGCGGGTGACGCTGGAGAGCGGAAACGCGGGTAAGCGTGGGAAGCGCGGGTGAGCGTGGGAGACGAGGGCAAGCTCCGTGACGAGGGGAAACGTTTGCGACGAGGGAAACATTGCGCGACGAGGGGACGCGCGGGCGACGAGGGCATGCGCGAGTGCAGCAGCGCTCGTAACGTGGGGTTGCGCGAATCGCGAGGGAAGCGCGGACGATGAGGTGATGCACTCGCCACATACTAAGTGTGGGTGTCTAGACGAGGCGAGGATGTGGCCTGAAGGCGGATCGAAGCAAAGAGTTTGTTGGGCGGGCCATGCTATGCTGGCCAATGCGTTGCGGGGGTCGTCATGGAGGTAACCAGCAGCCTTTCCCCTCCTGTGGTGCGCTAGAACGGGTGTCCCGTGGCACCCATTTCGAAAATGGTAGGGTAATAGCGTGTTTGGCAAGAAGCAGGTGTTGCTCAGCTATTGGCTTGACAGCGGGAGTGACGAGAGCTGGACGGAAAAAAAGCTTCTACCTAGACTAGCTTTTACCGCCCTGCCGCGCGTTTCCTAGTTACGTGCCTACCCTAGTGGATTAGGAGTACTACTTGGTCGTCAAGTTATGTGAGAGGTGACCACGGCAAGCTGGTGGGCGATGTTCGGATCTGTTGTGCGACTGGGCACAGGAACCAATCAGGAATGACCGTCGCAAGACGTTTTCCCTGGGTCGCGAGAGTTCTTTCAAACAAAAGAGGGTAACCCTGTTTTTAGCGACTTCAAGTTCAAGAATCTTGAACTTGAAAAATACCATGCTGTACCCGGGCTTTAACTCTGCATCGCCTAAAACGAAGCAGTGAGAGAGTTCTAAAGGATTCAGCTCTTTATATCACAAGCTCTGGTCTGGAACAACCTTTTATACACTCCATACAGCCAATGACTGAAGACATGATACTAAACAAGAATAGTAGAAAACATGTTAAAACCCGCAGGCCAAGATATTCAAGCTTAGGAAGGTTGGTTGGGAGTTGCTGGACGAGGTGCTCTAAACCTGGGAAAATCACAGGCGTTTTTGGGACATCCAACCAACACTAGGAAGGATGAACCAAATTTGGCCTTCTTGACCCACGGGTTTTAACTAATTAACAATGGCTGCATGCATCTAGTTCAAACTGGTAACTAACTTATGACTTCCCTGTTGGGCAGCTGATGCTGGGATATAAAATCATACGGTAAATCAGAGGCAGGCCATTGGGTGGAAGAGTATGTGGGTGAGCGCAGGAGAAAGAAAGATGGGGGGGAGGGAGGGAATGAAAGACAGATCGCTGAAAAAGAAAGAGCAGTGCATACCTGCAGTGCAAGCACTAGTTTTCCAAACCACCTTCAGATGGAGGTACCCCAGACTCAAAGCTCGGGACGGCAAGAATTGGCACGGCACGACACGGCACGGCACGGCACAGCACAGCACCTGGTGTGTGGGTGTGTGCAGGTTGTAGTTGAAGGTGCTGGACCAGCGCATGAGCTCCACCAGTGCTGCCTCCATCCACACCACCTCACGTTGTAGCTGTTGGGGGGGGGTAGAGGGGAAGTGATGGTGGATGCATTGGGTGACTTTGAGTCTTGAATTTCGAGTGCTGAGTGCTGACTCTTGAGTTGGCAACAAAATGTGTCCCTCCAGATCACCTCCCGCTGCAGCTGCTGAGGGGGATGGAAGGGGGTGCATGGGGTGACTGTGATGAGAGGTGCAGGGGAGGGGGAGGAAGGTGAGACAGCAGCAGGTTCGAGAGTGGGGTGATGATTAAGGGGGGAGGGCAACTGGGATGCAGCTGCAGAGTGGGGCGAGGGGACAAGTGTGTGCATTGGAACAAATCATAATAACGAAAGCGTGGGGAGAGGCCGCGTGTGGAGGGAGCAAGCGAGATGGAACGAGTCGCAGGAGCAAGAAGATAGAGAGAGAAAGATCCATTGAGGCACGGATAGAGCAGCACACTGCGCTGAAAGCAGCCGAACCCGTCTTGCAGCCAGGACTACATCTCCCTCCTGCCAGCAACCTCTCTCGCTCCGCTCACCCTTCCGTGTGACCTACTGCCCACCTGCATGCGTCAGCCATGACACACCCCCCAGCACCAGATAGACGGGCCAGAGTGGTTAGTCACCTCCATCCTCCAGCCCAGGGTGCGTGCCCCCAGAGTGCGTGCCGGCCACCCTCTCCCTGCAGTGCATGCCCACTTCCCTCTCCAAACACTGCCTTTCCTCCATTGCACACCACGCCTTCTTCCCGGTACCTGGTGCATGGCTTGGGTCTTTTCCCGAGCCTCGGCCTCCCACCGCTGCTGCTCCTGCTGCACTGCTGCATGGCCCTGACAGGCATGGGGCGAATGAGGTACGAGCACGGGGCAAGACATGAGAGGAGGCGCGGATGGGATGGGCGTGGGGGAAGGGGTGACCTGGTAAGAGAGGGAATCGGGAAGGGAAAGAGGAGAGGGGGATGAGAGAGGGAGTCTAGAGTGTTGTGGTGTGGGGAAGAGTTTGAGCTGAAGCGTACACACCTGTTGCAGTGTGGTGATCCGCTGCTGTTGATCCAACATGGCATGCTGCATGCTCACATGCTCCTGGTGCGGATCAGGAAGGGAAGGGGGTCAGAGGGCATTCGGAATGAGGAATATATGGGCATCGGGCAATATGTTTATGGGGGTCTTGAAATGGCCCAACGGCCCCAACAACCCGAACAACCCAACAGGCCCACGCACTCGTGTGGGTGTACACATGCACACGCATCCACACACATGCACACATACACACATGTCCACACATGCACACATACACACATGTCCACACATGCACACATACACACATGTCCACACATGCACACATGCACACACATCCACACATGCACGCATGGACACACACACCCACACACACACACACACACACACAGACCCACACACACACCCACACACACACACACACACACACAGACCCACACACACAGACCCACACACACAAACACAGACCCACACACACACACACACACACACACACACACACACACACACACACACACACACACACACACACACACACACACACCTGTCGGAGTGCGTCCATCCACGCACTGTCCACCACCCACATTTGGTGCCCACGCCATGCATGCTGCCGGCCCATGCGCCAGAGCGACATGGGGCCAGCTAGGAGCGGAACGGCAATGGGAGAGAGGCAGGGCAGAGGCGCCGACATGCGCATGCCTCTGTGGAAAGGAGGAGGTGGTGGAGAAAGAGGGAGAGAGAGGAAGAGAGAGGGCAGGACGGGTTATGAGTGGTGATGCATCTGCTGAGGTGGGAGGCATTATTTAGATGGCTTTGACGGTTTGGGTGGTTTGCCAGCGTGTGAATTAGCTAAGGGAGTGAGTGAGAGAGAGCGAGGAGTGCGTGAGGAGTGAGTGAGTAAGATCATGTGTCACTGGGGCTGCCTTGCAGTGGTACGAGCACAGGCAGGGGAGGGAGGAGGACGAGTGGTGTGCGACAGGTGTGTTATGAGTTGATTCAAAACGAGCAACTGGCAAGGGAGGGGAGGAGAAGGGGAGGAGAGGAGGGGAGGAAGAAAAGGAGTACTCATCATGACGCACATGTCCAATGTGCTGTGTGCCGCACAAGTCACGACCTCGCTTCCTGCCCTCGCTGCCCTTCCACCAGAACCACGCACACCTTCCCACCACCCTCTCCTCATCTTTCTCCCTCTCCGACTTTTCCCGCTGCTCCCACTGTTCCCACTGCTTCCAAGGCTCCCTCCGCTCACCTGCACCCGCTCCTGCTGCCCAACCACTCCCCCACTGCCTTCTTTAATACCGATCCCTTCCTCTTCTCCTTCCACCTCTTTCCCCTCTCCTGCATGCTCCTCTCCCTCTCCCCGCTCAGCTTCCATTCCTTGTCTCTCTCTGCTGCTCTCTGCAGCACAAGCCGCCTGGCTCTCACTCTCCTCCTGCTCCTCCGCACCCATGCTGCCCCTCCCTCTCCTCACAATCCCCCCCACCCTCGGCCCCGCTGCTCTGCCACCTTCCCTTGACAATGTGACTGCGGGTGCTAGTGTTGCTGCTGCCTCTGCTGCCGCTGCTGCCGCTGGTGCTGATGATGGTGGTGGTGGTGGGTGTGAGTGCGGAGATGGAACGGATGTGGCTGCTGGATGAATGGATACAGCTGCCACTGCTGCTGCGGCTGCTGCTGATGCTGCCACTGCTGATGGTAATGGTGGCGCTACTGCTGCTGCTGATGGTAATGGTGGCGCTACTGCTGCTGCTGATGGTAATGGTGGCGCTCCTGCTGCTGCTGATGGTAATGGTGGCGCTACTGCTGCTGCTGATGGTAATGGTGGCGCTACTGCTGCTGCTGATGGTAATGGTGGCGCTCCTGCTGCTGCTGATGGTAATGGTGGCGCTACTGCTGCTGCTGATGGTAATGGTGGCGCTCCTGCTGCTGCTGATGGTGTCCCTGCTGGGATGCCACATGCCAGTCCTTTGCTAGGCACCACCACCACATATTCCCCCACCGTCCCACACCCCCCCCACTCCCCTGTCTTTTCCACCAGCTCTCGGGCTTGCTCCCCCACCCTTCCATGCCTTTCCCATCCCTCTGCCTCGCCCACCAGCTCTCGGGCTTGCTCTCTCAGTCGCTGCAACCGCATGTGGGAGTGGTGGTAGGCGAGGGTGGAGGCGAGGTGGGCGGCGGAGGAGGGAGTTGGTGGCCTGTTGGCAGGGATAATGAGGAGGGGCGGGGAGAGGATGGAGAGGTGGGGAGAGATGAAAGGCAGTGGAAGGGTCGGAAGAATGGCGAGTGGTGAAGAAAGGTGTATCTTCCCACACAGTACCGCTCTCCTGTGCGTTCTGGTGGGACGTGTTGTTGTGTTGTGTGGTGGAGTAGACTGTAAATGGCATGAGTGGGGGCTGAGGCAACATGAGACGGGGTGGGTGGAGATAGAGATTCATTGACCCGAAAGGGGTTATGGGAGCGATGGGGACAGAGGGGAGTGGGGAAGAATCAGAGTGACTAGTGTGGTGGAAGGCTCGGGTTGTCAGGGATATTGACCAGTTAGGTACGGATTGGTCTGGTTGCATTGCGTTGGTTCGATCTGAATTGCAGTGCACCTATGCTTACCAAGCACTGTAATGCAAATGTGCTCAATCTGCGAGTATGGAGTTCTTTTCTCTCTGCTCGTTAGGGATCTGAATGAATGCAGGGGTATCGACGAGGGAAACTCAGGAGGTTATGGAAGGGAGGAAACAGTGGGGGAAAGCATTGGGGGAGGCAAGCACTGGTGGGCAATTGTCTCACTGTGAATGGTGTGATGCCAGCTCCCCCATAAGTGTGTGATGAGCACGAGACGATGCTTGAGTCGACTTAAAAGGTATCTTACTGTGAGTAATGTGATGCTAGCTCCCCCATGAGTGTGTGCAGTGCTGCATCCCGCGCTGCCCTCTCCTCCTCCGCCCCTCGCACCACCTCCCTCACTGCCGCATCCCATCGCCCCACCTGCTGCCTCTTCGCCTCGAGTGCGTCCTGCTCCCACAGGGAATGATGGAAGGGAGAGGAGAGATGGACGGAATGACATGGCATGCAAGATGGACAGACAAGGGAGTGTCGCAACTAGGTGGTTTTTGAGTTGACTCAAGAGTCACCACAGCACTCCCCCTCTCGCCCTCCCACCCTCCCGATCTCCCGCCCTCCTACTCTCCCGCCCTCCCACTTTCCCGCTCTCCCATCAACATGCCAATGTACCAGCCCAGCAGTGCACACACCTGGAACTGCCAGCACACGTGTTCCATTTGCAAGCATTGGCGCGGTAATGACACCTGTTCGCCACCCCACACGTAAACACACACCCATCCATCCACCCATCCATCCACCCATCCATCCACCCATCCTCCCACCCATCCATCCACCCATCCACCCACCGCTACAAACACCCGTCTCCCCTGCGCGCGCACCTGGAACTGCGTGCACACGTGCTCCATGTGCAGGATGTGCGCCTCTATCTCCCTCGCCTGCCACCCCTGCACCACCACGCCTTTGCCCCCGCCCCGCCCCCCACGCTGCTTGCACTGCTGCCTCGCCCCTCCCCGCTCCTGTGCCTCCTCTTGCACAGTCGCCCCAGCAGTGCTTGTAAAGGCCGATGCTACAGCAGCAGCAGCAGAGCCAACAACAGCAGGAGCAGCAGCAGCAGAAACAGCAGCACCAGGAGCACCAGCTTTCCGACTTCTCCCCTGCGTTGAACGCTTTCCTTTGCTCTCCTCCTCTGCCCGTACCACCACCAGCCTCCGTGCCTTCTCAGCTGCTGCCTCCACCTCCGCCACTCGCTCTCTCAGCCTATCCAACTCCCTCACCGCTGCTCCAGCCAGTTCTCGGGCCTCCATCTCCCGTGCGCGCCCTTCCCGCCTCAGCTCCTCTATTTCTCGCATCAGCACACACACCACCTCCTCACTCTCCCGCCACTTCCCCTCCACTCTCTCCCGTTTCTCTGCCTCGCTCTCCCTTGCCGCAACAGCAGCCCTCCTCTCTGCGTCCACCCTCTGTGTTTCAGCCCTTGCAGCAGCTACCTCGTCCTGTAACCGTCTCACCTCTCTCCGCATCTCCCTCCTCACCTCCTCCTCTGCCTCTTCCTGTGCCACCTGGCATCCCTTTATCTCCCTCTCCCTCTCCCTCTCCCTCTCCCCCTCACTCTTCACTTCACAGCATACCTCAACCATTGCTTGCACACGCTCCACCTCGACCCTCTTCTCCTCCACTCCCTCCACCTGCCTCTCCTCCTCTCTCGCCCCTCTCGCCCTCTCGCTCCCTCCCTCCACACCGCCATGCAGCTTGCTCGCACTCCCCTCCCTCTGCTGCTCGCCCATCCCCCCCACACGCACTCTCTCCTGAACCTGCTGCCTTGCCCACTGCTCTCTTTCCCCCTTCAATGCCTCATTCTCTCCCTTTAAAGCCTCAATCTCCCACCTCAGCATCACATTCTCCCCTCGCAACTCGGCCACTTGCCTTCTCGCCATCACAATCCCCTCCGCCTCTTGCTCCACCTGCAGCACCACCACCTCTCCCTTCCCCTCCTCCTCCACCTTCCTCCTCCTTTCCACCTCCACCCCCCTCGCCATCTCCCTCCCCATCTCCTCCACCCGACACCTCATTCCCTGCACCTCCCCCTCTGCTTCCACCAATCGTCTCTCCCCCTCTGCCTGCAGTACCATCAGCTCATCGCGTTCCCGCTCCATCTCACCCACCACTCGCCTTAGCCTCCCCACCTCCTCCTCCCCATACCGCACTTTCTCTCTGAGTTCCTCCTCTCTCGTTCTTCCTTGGCTGATCCCCACCCTTGCAGCCTCTGCAGCCCTCGCAGCTTCCCCCACCTGTTTCTTCCACTGCTCCTCCCTCTCCTTCCACTCTCCCTCCCTCTCCTTAAAGTCAGCTAGTTTATTCTTCCACTCCCCCTCTCTCTCCTTCCACTCCCGCTCCTTCGATTTCCATCCCACCTCCCTCTCCTCCATCTCTCTCACCTGCCCTTCCATCGCACACACCCTCCTCTCCCATGCCTCCGCCACGCCCTTCCACCTGTCTCTCTCCCCTTGCATTTCCTCCACCTCCCTCTCCTTCCGCTCCACCTCTCCTCTCACCCTCCTCACCTCCTCCTCCCTCTCCTTCACCTCCTCACACAACCGTGCCCCCTCTCTCTGCACCTCCCAACTTATTTTCCTCTCTTCTTCACGTTCCTCTTCCCTCCTTTTCACCTCTCCTTTCAAATCCTCCACCTCTCCCTGTAAACATCTCACTTCCACTCTCCCCTCGTCCCTCTCTTCCACTATCCGCCCCATCTCCTCCTCCACCTCCCTCACTCTCCTCTCCCCTTCCTCCTTCACCTCTTTCACTCTCCTCTCCCCTTCCTCCTTCACCTCTTTCACTCTCCTCTCCCCTTCCTCCTTCACCTCTTTCACTCTCCTCTCCCCTTCCTCCTTCACCTCTTTCACTCTCCTCTCCCCTTCCTCCTCCACCTCCCTCACTCTCCTCTCCCTCGTCCCCACCACCGCATGCAGCGCCTCACACTCCTCTTGCAGGCTCACCACACGGCCCTCCATCGCCCCCATCCGCTGCCTCTGCACCACCGCTACCTCTCTCCCCCTCTCCAACTCCTTACTCACCCTCTCGTTCTCCCTCTCCGCGTCCCCGTTCGCCCTCCTCTCTCTTTCCACCTCCTCTTCAAGCCCTACCACCCTCTCTTTTAGCATCTCCGCCTCCTCCCGCACTTGCTCCTCCTCCTCCCTCATCTCCTCTAATCTCCTCTCCACCTCCTCCTTCGCCCCCCTCACTCTCCCCACCTCCTCAACCGCCTCCCTCTTCTCACCCTCCACTCTCTCCCTCTCCTCCTGCAACCCCCGCACCCGCCCTTCCATCTCCCCCACCAACCCCTCCAGCCTATCCCTCTCCCCTCCCACCCTCTCCAACTCCCCCAATACTCCTCCCAGTCTCTCCCTCAGCGCACCCACCTCCCCTTCCAACCTCCCAACCTCCCTCCCCTTCTCCTCCACCTCACCCTCCACCTCCCTCACTCTCTCCCTCCACCCCTCCACCTCCTCCACCCCCCTCCTCTCTGCAGCCTCCTTCGCCTCCCCCAGCACCTCCAGCTCTCTCTCTCTCATCGCAATCACTCCCTGCAGCTCCTCCTGCACTCTCACAGCCTCCTCTGCATCCTCCACTGCTCTTCTTTCCGTCGCTTGCCTGCTCTCCACCTCTCTGCGCTGCCCGTCCATCATCATCTTCAGCTTGTACACCTGCTCCTGTACCGACTGGTGCTGCAGAAACAGATGTGCTTTCGACGCCTCTACCATTCTCCGCCGCTCCTTCTCCTTTCCCACCTCCCGCTCCACGCCTACCCTCCTCTCCACCTCTCTCTTCACCTCCTCTCTCACCCTCTCCATCTCCCCTTCCAGCTCCTTCACTCTCTCCTCCTTCTCTCGCACCTGATCTCTTAACCGCGCCACCTCTCCCTCCTCCTCTCCATGCCGTCTCACCTCTCCATCCTTGGCCACCTCCGCTCCTGCCTCCTCTGCTCCTCCCTCTCCTTTCATCCCCTTCCCCAAAACAGCTATGCCACCATTCTCTCTTGTGCCATCAACCGTTCTCCCTCTTTCCTGCACGGTCTCCCCAACCACTAATGTCCCACCAACCTCTGTCTCCATCTCTCCCGCCTCTCCCGCGCCTGCACCCACACCACCCACACCCCCCTCTGCCTCATCCACACAACCAGCACTCACTACCCTCACTCCCCTCATCCCTTCCCTCCGCTCCCCTCCCCACTCTCCACATCCCATCTCTCCCCCGCCTTCCACCTCACCTCCCTTCCCTGTCCGCCTACCCCCACCCACTTCCACCCTGCCCATCCGTCCCTCTCCTCTCTCCCTCTCCATCGCCCTCACCATCCCCTCCAGCTCCCTCACTCGCTCCCCCTGCTCCACCGCCTCTCCCCTTGCCTCCTCCGCTCGCCTCCTTAGCACACCCACCTCTCTCACCATCTCCTCTATACTCTCCTCCCGTGCCCTCACCTCCTCCTGCGCGGCTCGGAGTCTCGCACAAGTCTCCAGCCCAGCCTTTTCCATCCACCGTATCCTCGCATCTCTCGCTGCTACCTGATCCTCTAAAGCCTCTACCCTCTCCTCCTGCTCCCTTGCCCTTGCCTCCTGCTCCGTCACTCTCCCCTCTTGCTCCTGCAGTTTATCCTCTAGTTCCGAGATTGATTCTCTCGCTGCGGCCAGCTCAGCATGCTTCTGCACCACTTCAGCATGCTTCTGCGCCACCTCAGCGCAAACCCTCGCCAGCTCAGCATGGCACCCTGCCAGCTCACCCTGCAGCAGCGCCACGTCTCCCTGAAGCATCCCAACTCTCCTCTCTCTCTCCTCCGCTTCCGCCTTCCACCTGTCAGCCTCCTCCTCCCTCGCCCTCACCTCCCCTCTCAGCCTCCCCACCTCCTCCTCAACCTCCCTCACTGCACCCTTCCCTCGTTCCACCTCCCCTCCCATCACCTCCACGTGCTTCCGCCACTCACTCACCTCCCCCTCCAACACACCGTTCCGTACACTCTCTTCCCCCACACACCCCTCTCTCTCCTCCACCACCCTTTCCACTTCTCCAACCTGCTTCCTCTGCTCTTCAGCATCTACCTCTGCCTCTACCTCTACCAGCACCACCTGCTTGGCCGTCTCTCTCACCTCTTCTGCTACTACCTCCTTCGTCTCCTCCACCTCTCGTGCTCTCACCACCTCCTCAAGCTCCCTCACTCTCTCCTCCAACCTCCCAGCCTTGTCCTTTTCCACTCGCAGCCGCTCTTCCGCTTCCCTTATCAAAACATCTGCCTTTTCCAACCTACTCTCGAGCTCCTTCACCTTCTCCTCCTTTTCCCTCACACCCTCCTCCAACTCCCTCACTCTCCCCCCCTTCCTTTCCACCTCCTCCCGCACCTCCCCCTCGTTTGTCTCTGCCTCCCACACTTTCTCCCTTTCCTCCATCAACTGCGCTTCCACCATCCTCAACATTTCCCTCCCTTCCCTCATCCCCTCCTTCCTCACCTGCCTCTCAAGCCCCTCTATCCACGAATTCCCCAGGCCCTCCTCCCTCTTTCCCACAGCACCACGGCTCTTCTCCACCCTCCCCAAACCCCTCTCCCCTCCCTCCTCCTCATGCAACCCGCCTTTCTCCTCCTCCCGCGCTCTCTCCTCCTGCTCTATACCTCCCCCTCTTCCCATGCCCACCTGTCTTTGCAGCAGCAGAAGCAGGCGTGCCCACACTGCATGCATGCACTGCTGCACCTCGCTCCGCCTGCCTGCAACCCACTGCACCTGCGCCTGCACCTGCATTAACTCCGCCTCGACCCCTGCCAGCACAAGAGCCATGCCTCCTACCTCGCCCCTATCACACTCCCCCTCACACTCGCCTTCGCACTCCCCTTCACACGCTCCCTCACACTCTCCCTTACACCCCCCCTCGCACGTCCTCTCAAACCCTTCGTTCACCTGCTCCTGAATCCTTCTCAAGTCCTCCCCACCTTGTTCCACCCGCTCTCCCCTCCCACACCCATGACTTGCACGAGACTCCTCCCCTTCTCGCCCCCCCTCGCACAGCACCTCTTTCTCACTCCCCACACTGGCCTCAACCGCACACCCACATACTATCTCCACCACCTCATCCTCCTCTGCTCCGTCCTTACCCACTCGCCTCCCCTCCCTTGCACTCCCCTCCGATCCCTCCTCTCCCTCTGTCCCCTCTTCCATCCCACCCATCCCACCCGTCCCTCCCCTGCCTACCGCACTCTCTTCCTCTGCCACTTCACCAACCCCTACCACTCTCAACCCTACGAAACCGTCCTCCTGCTCCCCTTCCTCACTACCTTCATTCCCATGCCCCATCCTTCCTTCCCCGTCTTCAATCTTCCCCTCCCCCCCCACGGCTTCCCCAATGAGCGACTTAACTCGTGCCACCTCCCGCCCAGCCCTCTCCACTTGCTGCTCCAACTCAGCCTGCTGCCATCTCTCCCCCTGCACCCTCGCCTGCAAATCCCGAATCCGCCTTATCGCCCGCTCCAACTTACCCTTGCCTCTCTCCTTCCCCCGCCCTATCCCCCTCCACCTCCCTTCTTCGGCCCCCGCGCTGCCCGTTTCCCTCTCACCAAGCTCGCTTATCCGCGCCCCTCCTCCCTCGTTCCCGCTGTTCCCCCCTGCTACAACCTCGCCTCCCCACACTCCAAGCATGCTCCGCACATCTCCAAGCCCCTCTCGCATTCCGCAATCTCCCCTCTCCGCTTCATTCCCGCATTCCTCCCCTGCGCGCTCCCCTGCGCGCTCCTCTGCGCCCCCGCTGCTTACCCCTCCTCCGCTTCCTGGCGCGCCTTCCTCCCCTCTCGTTCTATCCATCCGCCTCCGCATTCCCCCCATCATCCCCTCCACCGCGCGCCATCCCTCCCGCGCGCGCATCTCGCTCCTGCGCACCCACCGCGTCACCTCCTCCACGTCCCGCCGCAACTCCGCCATCTCGCGCTCTGATTCCGCCAAGTGCCCCGCCATCCCCGCGCCTGCTTCCCCTAACAGCTCCTGCCCAACGCCCGTCGCGGACACTACGGAGTCCCCCGCTTTCCGCGATAGCAGCGCGGCCAGCTCACGGCGGAGACCGTCCGCCTCTTGTGCCGCCGCCCGCCACGGCGCCTCCGCTTCCTCTCGGCGCGCAGAGGCTTCCGCGCGCTTACTGCGCTCGCGCGCGAGCATGCGCGCGTGGTGCAGAAGCGTTTCTTCCATATCATTCGCCAACGCGCCGTCCCTCGTCGAATGCGTTCCCAACGAGCCAGCGGCACCATGATCCTGCGAGTCGCACACGGCGTGTGGTAACTTGTAGGAGTCGAATTGAGTAGTACCACTCTCGATTCGAAATAGAGAGACGGACTCGTCGGTATTCCTCTTTTCACTCGGAGGTTCCGAGACACCTCCGCCAGAACTCTTCTCCTTCGCCGTTGCGGCGGTCATCGCGGGACCTTGCATTATATGTGAATGCGGCGTGTCGCCATGGATTGTCTCGGTAGTGAGTGGCATGTTAGTGGATTTAGTCCGTTCGCGGATGTTTTGCCCATCGCTGCCCTGGGAAAAGCACAACCAGCACGTTGCGCATTGTCGCACTTGAGGAGGTTGAATCAGGTGGATTTGATTGGTCGGTGAAGAACAGGCGTGGCGCGGCTTTGGCGAAGCTTTGCCTTTGCGGAGTTGGCGCCACTATCAAGGCTACAAATTAGCATCTCTAATCGGCACAGCCCGACCCACTTTGCTCCATCACCGTCTGACGTGCTTGACTCGGGGTGCTGGACGATGGTGATGGTTCGGCATGAGATGGGATGGGATGGGATGGGATGGGATGGGATGTGGATGGGGGGGATACACTGTATGCGGAGTGGGCGGCACATGTGAATGTGATGTGATGTGATGTGATGTGATGTGATGTGATGTGATGTGATGTGATGTGATGTGATGGTTGGGCACGGGATGGCATGGCATGTCTAATGTCCTCGAGTCGAGACGAGACATCCCCACATCCACACCACATTAGATGTTGAGGGATGCGTTCATCTGGCATAACGGACGTAGGGAAGTTCGTTTTTCAACCTGAAATTCGAACTTTTAGTGTACACCCACTTATTCGTTTGATGCACCCGCGATTGTGCCAACCGCTCGGTACATTCACATAGAAGGTTGGGAGCGATGCATTAATGTCACATAGAATCGATTCACACGCGTGATCAGTTCAGCATTGAATTGCTAAACGTTCAAGAAAATTGGTGGCAGAGAACTACAGTTACAGGCATTCGCGCTAAAGACGATGTCAGAATCCCAACCATTAGACCATTGGGATAAAAGGGCTTGTTTCAGTAGCGGGTCAGTGCGCCCATAACCCCCCAGACGAACGCGTCTCTAACCCTCTCCAGGATCAATCGGGCATCCACAGTGCAGATCTACTGACACCCCCCCCACACTGGGAGGCCCAGGACTAAGCACAGCGGCAACGGCCTACATGTGCATACACCGGAAATCGAACCCGAGACCGCTCTGATACCATATTAGAATCCCAACCATTAGACCATTGGGATAAAAGGGCTTGCTTCATTAGCGGGTCAGTGCGCCCATAACCCCCCAGGCGAACGCGCCTGTAACCCTCTCCATGATCAATCAGGCATCCACAGTGCAGATCTACTAACAGACGAGGCCAAATTTATTAGTTATTATTAGGTCAGGCCGGCCTACAGTTGCAAAAACGTATTTATAGCCACATTTTGGGAGCAAGGGACGACAATACATAGGGAAATGTGACTCACAGACGTTAAAAGCACCGGGCAAAAACGACAAGCACTTCCGACCGAAACGCGCTTGGTGAGATAAACGAATAATTGGGTGTAACAATTTTTCGCTAATCTCGCCAAATCTCTTCGCAATACCTTATTCACGATGGTGTCCACTTTTCATCTCACAACGAGTGCGAATTTTAGTATTTCGTCATTTCAGGAAAAAATCGACTCTGGTACTTTACCACAAAGCCGAATTTTCAGGCATGTGACAACACCGCGACTAGAAACGATTCTGTTACTATTACGACTTGCTGTCGCCATTGGCGGGAGTGTCGAATGTGAAGCCATGTCGATGTAAGCGATCAGTTTTGCATTGGGAGAAGATCAAATAGGGGCCGAACAATAGCAGGGAGGTGACAGAATTAGGACCGGGTTGATCCCAACCGTTCGATATACACCCTGTAAGAATTGAAACGAGAATGAATGAACTATGAATGAATTGGGTACAAGTACTAACCCTAATTGGGTTGTACCCCTTATGGGCTACCCCACTATAGCCTACACAATATGCATGAGCTATAATGTTCTGACACACCCCCATAGGCAAAGTGGGGGAGAACAAGGGGTCACAAGACCAGTCAAGCAAAACAAAGCAAAGCAAGCTCAGAGTGGATCACAAAGTCACCACACATTCTGAGCACAAGTTCAAGGCCACAAGGCCAGTTCACATGCAGGAGTACATATATATAAAAAGGCTAGACAAGCAAGAGCAGGTATATATATATGTAACAGTACAAGCAAGGTCAAGAGGTGAGCAAGTGAGGCAAGGTAGGCACAAGGCCCAGCTGAGTACAGAAGCGCTGATGGTCACAAGGCGCAAGCGCCTTGGTGAAGATATCAGCAGTGTTGGCCTCAGAGGCCACGTACTCAAGACGCAGCTGACCACGCTGCTGCAGCTCACGAGCAAGAAAGTAGCGGAGAGCAATGAGCTTTGTTCTGTGCTCCAGTCTGTGCTCTCGACACAAGGCCAGCATGGCCTTGTTGTCTACGTACAGCACTGGAGGAGAACGAGGCGGATCTCCGAGGTCAGTCAGCAGGTAGGTGAGCCAGCGAAGCTCCTGTGCAGCCATGGCTCCTGCGTAGATCTCAACCTCACAACTGGAGCCGAGAACAGAAGACGAGCAAGTAGCCCGCCACGAAACAGAGCCGGAACCAAGGCTGAAGGTGTAACCCTGTGACGACCGCTGCGTAGCCTGGTCGTCAGCCCAAGAAGCGTCTGCGTGCCCAGTAAGGACCACTGGACTCTGCCCTCCAAGCACAAGCCCCATGCCCGACGTACTGCACAAGTAGCGCAACACCCTCTTCGGTGCAGCCATGTGCTCCGGTCTGTGTCTCCCAGGAGCAACATAGCGTGCGAGAATGCAAAGAGGGTATGCAAGGTCAGGTCGTGTGCAGGTCATCAGGTACATGAGGCAGCCAACAAGCTCTGGGTACGGGCCACTCGACTCTACGGACTCATCCGAAGGCAGAGCTGAGAGCGAGTGGCGAGTAGGCAGAGGAGTGGCCTGAGGCGAGGAGTACGTGAAGCCGAAGCGCAGAAGGACCTGCTGCACCATGTGTGACTGAGTCAGGGTAATGGTGCGGCGTGCTCTGTCCCGAGTGATCTGCAAGCCAAGGTAGCTGCGCAGTTCACCCAGGTCAGTGCACGTGTGTCTCTTCTGCAGCTCGGACTTCACGTGGGCGAGTCCAGCAGTGTCAGCTGTGGCAAAGACCAAGTCGTCGACGTACACGAGGATGTAGAACGGCGGCAGAGAGGTGTCGGTGCGCAGAAACAGCGACGGGGCGGCAGTAGAGGGAGCAAACCCAAGAGCCGCAAGTGTAGTCCTCAGTGTGTCGTGCCACTCACGCGGTGCCTGGCGGAGACCGTAGACTGGCCGCGGGAGGCTCCACTGGGTGCCAGGAGGAAAAGACCAAGTGAAACCAGGTGGGCGACGCAGCCAGATCTCCTCGTGCAGGCTGCACTGCAGGAAAGCAGTGCTAAAGTCAAGAGAGTGTAGCTCGTAGTCACGGTGAGCAGCTATGTGCAGCAGTACTCGAAGAGTGGTCATCTTCGGGGTGGGAGAGAAGGTCTGAAAGTAGTCAACTCCCTGCCGCTGACTGAAGCCACGAGCCACGTAACGCGCCTTGAAGACAGGCGGAGAACCCGGCGGTCGCTTCACCTTGAAAATCCACATGCCACTGACGATGTTCGCCCCAGGCGGGGGAACAGCGTCAACGTAGGTGCCTGTGGACTTCCAGGAAGCCATCTCTACGTCCATAGCTGCCTGCCACTGAGAGGAGTAGGGACCCTCTATCGCCTACGCGTAAGAGCGCGGAGTCGGGATGTCAAGTGCATCCGGGTCTCCCTCAGGGGTAAGCAGTACGGACACGAGATGAGGTGAAGCAGCGGCCAAGCACTGGAACTCCTCCTGCCTGTCCTCAAGGACGTCCGTGCCAAGGGCACACTCACCCCCGACGGACGGAGGACAGACAGACTCAGACTCCGCAACAAGACTGGCGGCGTAGTCTAGGCGACAGCGAGCAGCAAAGTCGACGAGCTCAGCAACTAGGGCAGACGCAGCAGTGGAGTCAAAGGAAGGGTCAGTGACAACAGTGGCAAGGAGACGCGTGATAGTAGGACTAGCAGCACGAAGAGAGTCCGACTCCGGGTCGGCAAGAGCAGGAAGAGAAGACTCAGGAGGAGAAGGCAAAGGGGCACGCAGAGGAGCAGTGGACGGACGTAGAGACATCCGGTGCGTCCCAGGGACAAGAGGAGGACGCTGACGCGAACCGTGACCACTAGTGCGAGAAGCACGGACAGGCGACGCAGGGCGAGACGCAGGCTCACGACGCTCAGCAAGACCTCCAGTAGGACCAGTGTAGGGAGACGGAGGAGGCAGTGGGGAGGCCGGCTGTAACTGGAACTGCGACGGGACAGGCTGTGGACACTCTAAGGGAGGAGGAGGACCAGTAGAAGACGGGAGACCAAGAACCTGCTGAAGGAGCGGAACGAAGTACGGCCGAGGCCACGCGGCGACTCTAGACACAGCAGGGACAGCACCAGCACCCCCAGTGGCAGCACCAGCACCAGTAGCAGCTCCAGCTCCAGTACCCCCAGCAGCACCAGTAGTACCCCCAGCAGGACCGCCTCCAGGACCGACAGCAGTAGCCTCAGCGCCAACATCCGCAGCAGCTCCAGCTCTAGTTGTACCCGCAGGTCCAGCAGCTCCAGTACTCCCAGTACGAGCACCTCCGGGACCCGTGGCACCAGCTCCCTCAGCAGCAACAGAACCTCCAGTACCCGCAGCACCTCCAGCTCCAGCAGCTCGCCTCCAGCGCCGGGCAAACCACTCGCGCAGCGCCTGTGGAGAGAGTGGCTCCCGCCGAGACGAAGCACCCGGAGAACCTCCAGGCCCATCACCGCCAGACGCCACACGAGCAGGCCCAGCTCCCTCAGGCTCCGCACCCCCAGGCTCAGCACCTCCAGGCGTAGCACCCCCAGGCTCAGCACCCCCAGGCGTAGCACCCCCAGGCTCAGCACCCCCAGGCTCAGCACCCCCAGACTCAGCACCCCCATGCTCAGCACCCCCAGTCGTAGTACCCTCAGGCTTAGCACCCCCAGGCGTAGCACCCACACGCTCAGCACCCCCAGAGTCAGCACCCCGAGGC